GCGCTTTAACATCGGGTGGAAGGATCTTGACTCGAATGCAGTACGCAAAAGAACGCGCACGACACACGGCGAGCGCGACAAGGTCACCAATGAAAGATGCATTTGCGGAAGAAGGTAGGAGGGAGCCCGATGTACAAGAAATGAAGTCCGCGAGTGTTGGAGATTGGGCGAGTTGGTTCGTCGTACTTGAACTGGTATAGCGCATTACGGGGAAGAAGAAACGGCCGAGCAGACCGACAGAAGAGGACAGAGCGCTAACTTCCAACTGAGCTTTATTGTCAAATTGCATCAAATAAGTAGACCGGTGCAAGCATACAAAACCACCCTAACGCAACGACAAGATAACACACAACATCACACCGTCACATATCACACATTCATAGGCGGTTACCCTGATTAAGGAAGGCCACTTCATGTTCAGATAAACCCAAAGAAGGGGCGCTAATACACGTGCTGCCAGCTCTTGCTATACAATGCGCTTCTATAATTTCTCGAGTTAATTGTGACGGGTGCTTTTTTATCACTTCACACTGGTCGAACATGGGGGTACATCCACAGTGGGGGTACGCGAAAATGAAGTGGTGTTGCGCTTCAGGGAGCACAACACCACACTCTGGGTGGTGTTGTGCTCCCTGAAGCGGTTCGACGCGTGTTGTGCCGCGGACCGAAGTTCGCCACGGAACCAGCCAATTCGCCGTACGATCTGCTCACCTACGTCAGGCAAGTGGCTTGACAGATTTCTGAGGGTGAAAGGGACAGGTGTGTTGCCGATGGCGTTGATGTGGTTTCACGTTTCGTGCCTTCGACCAAAAAACTGCCATTTAAGAAAGTCGTGGGACACTTAAAAGACAATTCACTAGCTCTGTTACCTTCTGACAAAGAGGGAGGTTTTGTCGTTTTACTGAACCTTTTATTTATTGAGAAAGCGACCACAGCTGTTCACTCTATCTTTAGAGCTGAGGATGACACTTCCCTCAGCAAAGTTAAATCACAGGCAAAAAAGCTGTGTGCCACCTTGGGTTTCGAAAAACTTGCCAAAGCAGTGGATAAGTGCAAAAAGCTTAGCCTTGATGTGTTCTTCACGGCCAAAACACACAAGGTCGATTGCTTTCTGCGGGTAATTGTGACAGAAAGAGGAACATGGCAAAAAACTGTGGCATTATTTCTGCAAGAAAAACTCAATTTGCTCACCATCGATGACCCCTTTTTAATTAGGAATTCGGACATTTTGGTCAACTTTCTGGAACATAACGGCAGGGGCTTAAAAGCTTTTTCGGTCGATATAAAAGATTTGTATTACTCTTTACCGCATGAGAAGTTGTTACAGTGTGTTGACAATGCCATTGACTCATTTGGTGGTGTAGCCTTCCAGAATCTCACGGGTGTCCATAACAGTAACCTCTTAGAACTTCTGTCCTTTTACATCAAGTCGACGTTTGTATCTTTTAATGATCGTAAATACATACAGAATAGTGGTGTCTGCATCGGGTCATGCCTCGCCCCGATCCTTAGTGACATATACGTTGCTTATCATGACCGCTTGCTGATGAGCATGCTGGACCAAAACTTTGTCACCAAAATATGTCGTTACGGAGACGACTTTTTAATTTTCATTGACTGCAGCGACGCTGCTTGCCAGCACCTAACCGACGGTATTGTAATGACTTTTAAGGAATGTTTTAAACCGCTTTTATTGACTCATGAGTTGCCAATTGACAATAGCTTACGTTTTTTAGATTTTAATTTAATTCTTTCACCTGACCATGTGTGCTGGCTATTTGAACCTAGAAATGGAAAACCCTTTTACCCTATGACTCTTCCCATTCCAAGTTAGTTAAGCGCAGCATCAGAAATCTTTCTCTCATCAATCCTCTTAGGAAATCGTGTCATCATGTCATGCATCGCAGCTTTGCTGCTCAAGCTGAAAGGCTTTTGAGTGCTGGGTACCCAGCTATCCTACTGGCATCTATAGCTGAAAAGCTATTAAAACAGATAAAGAAAGGATGCAACTCCGAGGCCCAGCCGGAATCTAACGACCGAAAAAGACTCGTAGTTTTGCCCTACGTGCATGACATTTCCCACCGGCTAAAAAAGATAGGGGAGAAATGCAGCGTCAAAGTGGTGTTTTCAGCGCCGGATAAGTTACAACGGCTTTGCAAAGCTGTCAACCCTCTCAAATCACACACCACTGGTTGCGCAACTAAGCACAAAACTCGGTTTGTGCCGTGTGTAGTGGGGGTTGTTTACGCGATTCCATTCTCATGTGGTATGTGGTATTTCGTCCAAACGGGGCGATGCCTTAATGAAAGGCTAAACCAGCACCATTATAATGCTCACAAAGCAATCCAGGGCCACATTGGAATTCACTGCCGCGACTGTGGATGTACCCCCATGTTTGACCAGTGTGAAGTGATAAAAAAGCACCCGTCACAATTAACTCGAGAAAGTATAGAAGCGCATTGTATAGCAAGAGCTGGCAGCACGTGTATTAGCGCCCCTTCTTTGGGTTTATCTGAACATGATGTGGCCTTCCTTAATCAGGGTAACCGCCTATGAATGTGTGATATGTGACGGTGTGATGTTGTGTGTTATCTTGTCGTTGCGTTATGGTGGTTTTGTATGCTTGCGCCGGTCTACTTATTTGATGCAATTTGACAATAAAGCTCAGTTGGAAGTTAGCGCTCTGTCCTCTTGTGTCGGTCTGCTCAGCCGTTTCTTCTTCCCCGTAATGCGCTATACCAGTTCAGGTACAAAACTACTGTGCTTTGGAACACTGAATCACATTTGCATGACTGACATAGTGAGGCGAGATGAGACAGCTTCATTAAATGAACTCCATTGCTCGCTGGCATGCATATTAACAGTTTACACATCAACCTAGCCGATGTACATGTGGACAAAAAGAAAAAGAGAGAAAAATTTGCATTTAACTGCTTCACAACTGACAAACTAACATCATCATCATCATCAGCCTGACTACGTCCACTGCAGGACAAAGGCCTCTCCCATGTTCCGCCAGTTAACCCGGTCCTGTGCTTGCTGCTGCCAATTTATACCCGCAAACTTCTTAATCTCATCTGCCCACCTAACCTTCTGTCTCCCCCTAACCCGCTTCCCTTCTCTGGGAATCCAGTCAGTTACCCTTAATGACCAGCGGTTATCCTGTCTACGCGCTACATGCCCTGCCCACGTCCATTTCTTCTTCTTGATTTCAGCTATGATATCCTTAACCCCCGTTTGTTCCCTAATCCACTCTGCTCTCTTCTTGTCTCTTAAGGTTACACCTACCATTTTTCTTTCCATTGCTCGCTGCGTCGTCCTCAATTTAAGCTGAACATAACTGTCACCAAACTGTTCTTTGGGCACTGCCAACTAATAATAAAATTATCTGGCATTTTACACCCCAAAATCAAGGTATGATTACGAGAAATGCGGTAGTTGACGGCTTCTAAACTTTCGACCATCTGGTGTTCTTTAACATGCACTGACATCATACGGCACATTGGCCTCGACCATTTTGCCTGCATCGAAATGTGACCGCCATGACCGGAGTCGAACCTGCGACCTTTGAGTCGGCAGCTGAGCACCGTAGCCACTGTTCCACGGCGGCGGACCTCACACCGGCTTCTTGCGATCTCTTGTGCACTATGAAACAAATGCGAATAATCTTACTGGTGGCGGCAACCGATGCAACGGTTTTCGCAAACCAATGCGACGACACACAGGATTCCCCGCCTCTTTGAGGCGACCAATTTGTAGCTGGAAACTACTGTTCATCTTATATGAGCAAGTTTTTTTCCCGATGCCGTGCGTAGCATGAAGTCACAATTTCTTGTTTAACAATACTCGTATGAGTGGACAAGAAAGCATAACACTGGTATTGGTGAACCCACAATAAAACTTAAAAGCATGTAGATACCAAAATATTCCAAATTATGAAAAAAAGGAACCCCACAAACGAATTTGAGTCCCATTCTTTTTTGTTTAAATGGGTTTAGATTATGCTCACTTTTTTGTACAGCACGTGACTTGAGAATTAAAATAAGATAATAATCTCTGTACCTGAATGCTGTAAAACCTCTCTGCAGTTTGGTTACTCCTGATCACGGACAATTAATCAACTGTTCAACTTATGAACAAGTAATCATTGAATAATTACGAATTCGGTGTTACAGCTCCCACTGCACTTGATAGCACATTTTGACTGCATGTATCTGCAATTCTGCACATGACTACTCATTCGCATGTTGCTTAACTGCTACATTCTGACTGCATAATTCCTTTCGCATTTCATGCGTAGATATGATACATGCAGGTGCTTTCAGACATGTATAGTATTTTGGATGTAATAACAGTCAACATCAGAGGACGCCTTTCATTTTCTTTTTTGTTTGGTGCTCCCACGGCGCCAACAAGCAAGGAGCTATGAAAAACAGCCAATGCGCTTGAGCGGTTCGACGAACACACTTTTCCCATAGTGCTCTGAGTACCCGCGAGGCATTCTGGGATTGCTTGAAAATGGTCTATAAACACCGAAACGGGCCCAGAGCAGTTCCACACATTCTCTTGGCTTGTATGTCTTGCTCGCTGTTGGCACACAAATCACAACAGTAGCCACGTGCAGGTGTTCTTTCACCTACCGCCACATTTATGACTGTAAGTTTTCAGAACTGTGCAGTCATCATCCATGGTTATGTTGATGGCTCGGTCCTCAGTAGCTTCGCTTTGACACGACACATTAAGTATGCAATGTTACCAGCACAATGCAAGCTGCTGCTGAGAAAAAACAATCCTGGTGTAGCCCACACTGTGATAAAAAGGCCACCACAATGGCTGAGCAATCGGTTGGCACTGGGCAATACAAAAATTTTGCACTACAACATGAGTTTTGATTCACCGAGCTTTTATCACAGAGTACAAAGCTTGCTCTAGCCTACACCACAGCCCTTTTGTAAATAAGAGCAGCATAAGCAGCCTGCAGAGCCAGTAGAATGGCCTACCTCGAGGTGGGCGGAGTGCTGCCTTCCAGGATGCAATTGCTCCCCACGCTGCTCAATTCAGTCAACACAGACATGTGGCGGACAGCCTGAAAAAAACAAACAACAGCTCATTCATGAGCCAGTAGAGTACGTTTAATCATTTTGAGGCAACACATTTGTTTCATGGAAGACGCCAACAAGTTTAGTGATCGGTGTACATGTGTGGTGCCTAAGATTTCATTTATTGCAAATGAGTTCTGCGGAAACCCACAAGGTGGCAGAAGGGTTAAGAATCTTATCCCCCTTTCTTAACTCATTTTCAATAACTTGCGTCTATGTGCCTCGAGTTGTCGATGAATTCGCCCTTGCGCTGTCAATTGCTAGCTTCCTGGTTAGCTCAATTGGTAGAGCAACCACTCCAAAAAGGCGTTGGTCCTGGTTTAAAACCCTAGACCAGGACGAATGTTTCGGCAACTTAGAGGTTTTCTTTCTGAGAAATCCGTAGGAATTTCTTTGTGGCTTCATGCCACGAACGCGTGATTGTCTTCTTTCCTTTTTTCAAGGTTTCGTTTAACTGTAGTCGCTGTGGCCAGGGCCGTAGCCAGGGGGTGGCACATCGAGCACGTGCCCCCCTTCCTGACCAATTTTTTTCGCCATAGCATAGAGAGTGAAAAATGGTCATTTTAAGGGGGTGCCTCTCCGAAAATCAAGATGCCGCCTGCCCCTTTCCCCCCCTCCGAAAAAATTCTGGCTACGCGCCTGGCTGTGACATAGGGCAGACGGGTCGCTCTGTAAAGCAGAGATAGCTGGAACATAAAAAGTCCCTAACTCGAGGCTCACCATCAAAACTGTCTACAAGGTCAAAATTCTATGAATGCGCGATTTTGTTTTGTCGCTGCAATGAAGAAAGACGTTTAATGGCTGAGGCCCAGCATATTGATAAGTTTTGTAGCGCATCTGTGAGCCAACATGGGATTAACTTGCAAAAAGATGAAATGCCCGAATAGTGCTTTTTTCTTCTGCTGGGCACAAGTTTGCCTAACAAAAGATTCTATTTTTAGTTAACACCAGTAGCTAAATCCTCCAAGGTACTGTTGACAGCGCAGGAGAATGCTTGTTGACGCACCTGTAGGTGTGCTACAGCCTGCTCCCCCTGGGCGCTCTGCAGCTGCTGCTGCACAGCCAGCAGCCTCTGCTCTGCTTCCGCCACCGACTGCTGGAGCTTCTTCAGCTCAGCATGCACCTCAGCGGCTGCACACAAGCTTTCATCCTGGCCACCTGAATTATTTGGCGAAGCCTGTTTTGTATTTACACATGCATTCTGTGACAGTTGTTAAGGAGGGGATGAAGAAGACACGAGGAGCACATAGTACCAAATTCATTGAAAAGACAGGAAGCACGCGAGCAAAAAAATGGGGCCAGACCAGCCTACTATGTCCCCCCTAATCCTAATCGCATCCAGCGTCTGCAGTAAGCCTAGTTGATAGTTTGCAGTTGTTGAGTCGTCTTCATCCCACGTGTTCCCTAGCTTTGCATATGCTTTAACTTCAGCATTGCTTAACAATTATGCAAAACCACCTGTTACATACAAACACACTTGCGTTTTATATTTTAGCACAATGATTATTCTTGTCATTATGATTGAGAGGATCACCTCGTAGTCAACAAAATGTACTAGGGTAGCATTAGGTAGGTGATGGAAATAGCATTATATCACACGCAGTACTAAACAAACACTTACTACACCAACTCTTTCTGGAACTCAACACTGCTCTGCAAACAGGCAAGTTGAATGAAAATTGCACAGACTAGCAACTAAAAAAAAGATTGGTTACACTTCAATGAGAAAGACAACATAAGTGCAACTTGGCCAAGGACTCAGGCCAATGCGCATTTTTTATTTATTTATTTATTAGAATACCCTCAGGGCCCGTAGGGCATTACAGAGGGGGTGGGTACAACATATATAACACACAAGAAAAAAAGACAAAATAAAGAAACAAGTATCAGATGCGCAAATCAGGAAGGCAACATAAGTCAACTAAAAATGTATAAGAATTCAAGCACATACAAGACAAAGATAGATAATGGAAACTGCGTATAGTTTGATTGGGAGGTTCTCTTCTGTGCGCATTGCACAGAAGAGAACCTCCCAATCAAATGCATGCCTTGAGGATGCGTGCGAGTATTGTCTCAATATCTACGCTTTCAATTAGTATAATAATGTAATAATTTTAGGAGTTTCATTTTCATTTCATAATTTTAGGAGCATCAAAGTCGTGAGATATAATTACAAGAGAGCTCACCGCAGTTGAGGGCTGCGGAAATTTGGACACCTGGGGTTCCTAGACGCCATTGTTTCTTTCAGGCAAAGAATGTCTTTTTGTGGCCAATAGGAAATTCACCTAAGAGTTTATTAGCGAAGTAATTTTTTTTACTGCATTACAGCTGCGTTTAACAGCCACGAGAGAACTAGTTTTACACCCCAACAGCCTTTTATATTGCCACGTTCCTTTCCTCAAGTTTTGTTATCATCCCGTTACACTACGTTCAGCACAAACCGCGCCTACGATGTTCGGTAGCCTCGAGGCTGTAATAGATCGTTTTGTTGAGATTACGCCCACATCGAGAACATTACAGATTATTCTGCAACCTACTTCGCCGATAGCAGTAATGCTAAAACATTCGATGGCAAGTGTATAAATGCCGACGCGCTTTGCCGCTTCTCAGTTGATCGACGGCCGACGCTCTGTTCGCCGCTATTAGTGCCAGCGTCTTGCTGTACTCTGACTTACCTTTAAGTGGCCACAAGTTAGGCCCAAATAAACAGTTTATTATCCGACCTGCAGTCTGCTCCCTTCGTCCATGTCATGACTCCGTCACACTATACTTTATTTTTTCCCCTCCCATGGAGCTGGCAACTGCCAGGAGTGCAATGAACGCAAGGTTGTGACATTGACGAAGGTAGCAGTGGATGTATGCAAGATGAAACTCTTTATTTGGCCGAACTTGTGGCCACAAAACAGAAGCTCAGTTTAAAGCAAGCAATGCGCCCTGTACACTGATATTGGCGAACAGAGCATCAATCATAAACTGGTCATTTTCGGAGCGCATTGTCCTTTACACATCACGCGTCGAACTTTTCGTCTTTATCATTGGTGATCACCGAAGCTACGGAATAATCTTGACTGTCCACGTCTTGTGCGCAATCTTAACAAAATGATCTACTGCAATCGTGGAGGTTCTCAAACATTGACACGCAATCTGTGCCGAGTATTGCTCACAGTCTTTGTGGGTTTAAACCGAGTACATCAAAGTAACACTCATGGCAGTGCCCCCTCTGAAAAAGCATTGTCCCAATGCTTAAAACTGAATACGGGGGAAGAATGCATGCAACAAATAACAATGCAAAAAAGTACAATTAACAAATGCAAGCAAAAAAGTACAATACCAAAGCAAAAAGTACAGTTCAAAGTTTTCTAACGTGTATGACATGGCTTGAGGCGTGCAACATGTATGACATTGGGCTGTGCCCGGCACTGTTGAGAATTTGCAGTGCCATCAGCAATAACCTCATAGTCCAGGGCCCATAAGCATCCAAACACCCTGTACGGCCCAAAGTATCGTCAAAGTAGTTTTTCACTTGGTCTGCGTTGTCGTACCAGTGTCCAAACCCACACATGGTCACCAGGCTAGTATTCCACGAAGCATCGTCAAAGATTCTAGCAGCGGATGTTTGTTTTTTGCTGACACTGGATACGCAGACGGGCAAGTTGTCGGGCTTCTTCGGTGCACTATTGGTTGGAGTATTTTCTTCCATACAATGGTAACGTCAAATTCTTGAAATCTCAGGCTCCACAATGCGAGGTACCCCGAAGGGTCCTTAAAGTTAGCTAGCCAACCCAAGGCGTGGCGGTCGCTCACAATATTGAAGGGCCTGCCGTAAATGTTGGGGCGAAACTTGATTTAACCCAGATGATGGCAAGGCCCTCCTTTTCTGTTGCAGAATAATTGGCCTGCCTTTGAGCACGACCCTTTCCAGTCTGGGGTCCTCTACACAAGAACGACGCCAAGTCCTACCCTGCTTGCATTGGTGCAGGTGTCGTTCTAGTTCCTCAAATGCTTCTTCCTGCGGCATTTCACACTTGAACTTCACGTTTGCTCTTGGAAATTTAGTGAGCGCCTCAGCAATGCAGGCGAAGTTTTATACGAAACTGCCTGTAATAAATGCACAGGCCAAAAAATGGATGCAAGGCCTTCTTGTCGGTGGGTGACGGGAAAGCAGCAGTGGAAGCTGCTTTCCGCAGGTTGGGGCGAACTCTGGAGTTGCTGATAACTTGGCCCAGAAATAAGAGCTCCTTGTACGCGAAGCAGCACTTTTTTGGCTTTAGGGTGTGTCCAAAGGTGTTTACTGCTTTAAGTACAGTTTCAAGGCACCGGCGGTGTGCGTCAATTTTCAGCAAAACACGACGATGTCGTTTAAGTACATAAGGCAAGTCTGCCACTTCAAGCCGACTAGTACTGTATGCACAACACGTTGGAAGGTCGCGAGGACTGAGCAAAGACCGAAAGCTTGAACTTAAACAGGCTGTCTGGTGTTATACAGGAAGTCATTCTCGGTCTCTCTCGTCGTCTTTCGATTTGCCAGTAGCATGTCTTGTGGTCCATCAATGAAAAGTACTTAGCCAGTGTTAATATTAGTTTACATAACAAAAATTTAGGGATTTTTAAGGCTATATGTGCAAATTTTCAAGAACCACTTTGCCTGTTAGAAACCCAAATTAACATGTGCTCAGGGGAAAATAAAGGCTAGAAGTAACTAGAGTTCAACAAAAAAGGGTAACATTACTGAAGCAGACTTCAAAAACATGGCTCCAATGACATTTTCGTTCTGAACAACTTTCAATCATAGTTTCCTAAATGTGCATTTTAATCACTTTCAGTGTGACACATGCAAATTTTTATTCCGATAAGAAAAACTAAATAACAGTTATGATGTAACACCTTGTTGCTTTTTCTGAATTTTCATATCAATATCCACTATCACCTGCTGCTTGGTCTTGGCAGTCTTCCTAAGGTTGTTTGATGTGATGATGCACATAGAGTCACTAATCGTCTCTGCCTCTTCTGCATATGAGTCTGCTGTAGTTATTAATTCTTCACAGCAGCTTCTAGTTTCTTCTTCTTCTTTGCAAGCATTTCCACCTCCTCCTCAATGCAAAATTTATTTTTCTGTTTCTTATCTTCCTGTTCCTGCCTTTTCTAAGTTTCTGATGTTCTCAATTTTCTTGTGATGGGCACATTACATATGCCACCTGCAACATTCACGGCATCACAAATAATGTGCTGTGAAATGTACGACAATGTTCATTACAAGAAAAGAAAATTCAAGGATTTTCAAAAATTTGCAAAAGTTCCAGCACTTTCAAGGTCTTGAAAACAAGTTTTTCACATTCAGGGGATTTCAAGGACCCGCATGAACCTTATAATAGTGTTGTGGAGCTGATTCAGGGCATCATTTATCTGTGGGAAGGAATACAAGTTCTTCTTCATGACCTTGTTTAGGCGAGGATAGTTGACGCAGAAATGTAGGGTTTCATTTTTCTTCTCCATCAACACCACGACAGACCCAAGAACTCTTCGACGGCTGAATTATGTCGTCGTGTAGTTTTTGGTTCATTTGTTTCTTGAAAGCTTTGTGTTGTCACGCCAAAACTTATTAAGGGCTCTGACGGGTTGGTCTGGCACTTTCTTCTGTTATGATATGTTTCGCGACTTGGGTCTCTCGAATTCTTGACGACGATGAGAAGCAGTCCTACAATTGAAGGAGGAGTATTTTGAGCTGGTCCTGCTTGTGCTTTGGAATGCTTGGGTTGACTTCGAAATCAGGTTGGGAACGTCATGCTCTTTTCCTGTGTTTATGTCTCCTTGTTTTTGCGCTGTTTCATGAAGGCAAAATTACCATTTGCTTGCCTGGCCTTCACTTTAACTCAAGGGAATCCCGCTCTCTGAGAAAAACTATTTCTACATACAACCATGCTGGAAGTTGCTGCGTGCCCATTGAAAATCTTTTGTACCACAATTTTTAATTGGTTCATTACGAGTCGTAAAAGCTTGATGTGAAGAGGTAAGCGAAAAAGAACCTTTGCCACTCACCCAGTGTAGACTTCACTAGACCAAATCCTAGCCTGCCCTCTTCGGTATTAAAGTCACTCGGAGTTGGAAGACTACACGACGCAGACATATCAACATGTCATACTTATGCAAGGTTACATTTG